GTGAGGATTTGAAGTTCTGATTCGCGTCATTAATCGGAAGTCGAAGATGTCATTTCACACGCCAGCCCTATCGAAAATAAGGTGAACTAAACACGTACTGTTTTTCAACGACTACCGCTGGATGAAAGCCGTTGGCGACTGGATTCTTCCGGCTATCAGTCGCTTCACAAGAAGACCAGAAACCCAATGGTCCGATTTCTTCACGAAAAGACTAGGAGAAAGATTACTATTCGGTTATGAGGTTACAAATGGGAAACCGATGTCATTCGCTGGAGAGGAGCTTTTCATAGGAGTATTAGTAACCACTCGAAAGCTGAAACTTCAGCTGCAGTCCCACGACGCCGGTTTGCGACAAAACCTTTTTTTGACGTGCTACAGGAGATTTACTGAGTTGTAGACGCGCACATTTCTCGCCAGTCGAAGCCTTTTTTTTGGACTAGTAGCAATCAATCGACAGTGTAGAGGCTTGATTCCAACGCTGTGCTTATATCCTGCAAGGACCGTTCTCTACAACGCAGCAGGCAAAATAAGCTGAATTCGCATGCGTGAGCGAGGAGGTCTCTGGCCAATTCACATGCCTGCGCATAAGGCGAACCGCGTATACTGCTGACTCGATACTTCTCTACGCATTCATATGCTCGATAAATCCATGATCATCGCGTCATAGAACATATTCTCTTCACATGCAGGCACGTGAATTAGTCAAGAATCCCCTTGTTTACATATGCGAGTTCAACTAACTTTACTTGCAGTGTTGCAGAGAAACGGTCTTTTCAAAATATAATCACAGTGTTGTAATCAAATTTACCAATTGCTGCTGTTTCCTTCTTTATACGTCTGTCGTTTGCCACAGAGCTCGAAAGTTAGTACATGGTTTGGCGGTTGCTTGTAAACCCGTATGATTACAAGCTGGCTTAGCAGCTGGAATGTCGTAGGAGGCAAACATCTCTTGGTGACTCTTCGACTATCGGCTTTCATAGCGCTAACGTGAAGAAGTCGAGTTAGTCGGTCGCACTCTTCGTTGATCTTTTAATAGCGATATCTCTTCAATAACCAACTAATGTTTTGCATAAATCTCAGCTTATTGTGATTTTTTGAGTTTATTGCCTGAAGATAGCAGCCTTGTCTTCGATTCCAATCGCAAGGACTGGAGTATTGCGCAGATGAGCGACTGTCTGATTTCGTTTAAAATCTGGAACAACAACAACATCGAGAAAGCCTAACCTACGATTGAATTAGACGTGGCATGTATCGTTATCACACTCTTCACGAAGAGGTTCCCACGTCCACCTCCAATAGTGGAACCTTAACAGTTGTAGCTGACAAGAAGGGTTTTGGTCGCCATGGTAAGATCACAAGTTCTCTCACTGTGCTGTCCACTCTAGGGATGGAAGGGAGACGTAGGTGCGAGCCTCATACCGTGATCGATGTAACATTGACAGCTGCGAGTCACCTGTCACCTGTCACCTGTCTTCCCATTGATCGTCGAGTGACTCGAGCGGGTACCAGCAACTCTTCCATTTTTCGCTATCGCCTGCAAGAGTAGCCCAGTGAGTCCTCCACGCTCTAGGGATTCGCTGAGCATCATATCTTCTTCTATCGCTTTCGTGAAGAAATCGGACCACCGGGTCGGTGGTCTTCCTTTAGAGCGCTTGACGTCCCGAGAAATCCAGTCGGTAACGGCTCTCGTCCATCGGTTGTCGTTGAAGCACATCACGTGTCCAGGCCCACCTTATTTTCGATATCCTGGCGTGTAGAACGGCGTCTCTGATTTTCGATCGTTGAGTAAGGTCGGAACTTCGGATCTTTTCTCTCATTTGCGAGAAACGGAATACTCCTAGCATCGACCTTTCGACTGCGCGTTCGATAACGCCAATTGATCTTTCATCCTGCTTACGTAGCGACCAGGTTTCTGCTGCATACGTTAGGGCAGGGATAATTGTCGAGTCGAAAAGGTGGGCACGGAGCTCGGATGTTCTTTGTCCTCTTCACTACATCTTCGATGCTCTGAAACGTTCCCCAAGCCGCTCGTTTCCTCCTGCTCAACTCTGGAGCTAGGTCGTTCATCATGTTGATTTCACGACCTAGATAGACGTAACTGGAGCATTCGGAGATTGTCGTTCCGTTGAGCGTGAATGGGGCATTCGAAACCCATCCGTTCCTCATGAACATCGTCTTCGTTAGATTTAGTTGAAGACCGATCTTTCCACAGGCGTTATCGAAATCGGTCAACATTCGTTCCGCTTGGCTGATGTTTGGTGTTATGAGAACGATATCGTCAGGAAAGCGAAGATGGTTTAATTGTCGACCGTCAATTGTCACTCCCATATCGTCCCATTCTAATGTTCGCATGACGTTCTGTAGGGTGGCAGTGAATAGTTTTGGACGAAATGATATCTCCTTATCGAACCTTTCTTCTTACTTTAATGGTGATGTTTATGTAGAATGGAAATGTTTTGGTCGTGAAATCTTTATAAAGCTCATGAAAGATCATTATGTACCGAGTAGGGACACCCTGGTTATCCAGAGCCTCTATAATCGCTTCTGTTTCCACTGAATCAAAGGCTTTCTTCAGATCGATGAATGTGAGACAGAGTGGTTGTTTGTGCTCTCGTGAAACATCAGTGAGTTTTGTAATGGTGTGAATGTGGTCTATGGCAGGAATTCGTCTTCGGAACCCTGCTTCTTCGCATGGCTGTCCTTCGTCCAGTGTTCTGTCAATCCTGTTTAGGATGACTCGAATAAAGAGTATACAGACAACGAACAGCAAGCTGATTGGGCGATAATTGCCTATGTCGTGAAGGTCTCCCTTTTAAACAACAATATGGTCTTGCTGGTTTTCCACTGAATAGGGACCTTGCATTCTGACAGGTAGCGAGTGAACAGCCGAGCCAGGGTGTTGATGAGATCTGGCGACAGGTTCTTCAGGGCGACAGGCGACCTTTCCTTCCATTCAAAAGAACTAGAGTATTGCGCCGTGGAGCGATGGTCTCATTTCGTATAAAATGTAGAACAATAACAACATCGAATAAAGCAAACCTACGATTGACTAAGACGTGGTATGTTTCGTTATCGTACTTTTCACTGAGAGATTGCCATGTCCACCTCCGATAGTGGGACTTTTGCAGTTGTAGCTGACAGGAAAGGTTTTGGTTGCCATGGTAAAATCAGGAAACCTCTTACTGTGCTATTCACCCTAGGCAAGGAACGTAGACGTAGGTGCGAGTCTCATGCCATGATCCGTGAAACATTGATAGCGACCAGTGCAGTGGACAAATTCTGCATAGAACACGTAAGCTAAAAGGCTTCTTGAACGTGTAGTAATATGCTCGTGGACATTACTCTCTATTTCTTTCGTCCATGTGTCGCTTGTTCTTCTTACTATATAGCCGATCGATCAATGTTCCACTATCAATGTATATACTTCTGAGTGATAAAGATCTTACAGGTTTCGAAAATCTAATGAGCAAGCTGAGTAATAATTATCAGCGCGTGCTAAATTTTAGAAGACATCTCGCAAACTTTCTATAAGTTGTATCCAGCACTAATGACGTGGGCTTGGAGTTTGCTACGAAAAATGGTAGTGTTCTAAGTTCAGACAAATTAACCGTGTTATCACTTCCGGATATCCATCCTCGCGTAGACTGCCACTCGGAAACGTTTGCCGAAGGGTGCTAGCGTACGCATGATAGGAACATGCAAAATTATAGGAAAATATTGACAACATGTAAAAATGACACCCAGAAGCCTTCTGAACTTCTGCTCAGTATGTGAAGACCACAAGTTGGCTTCTCGCAAGTGCTCCTGTCATTGAAACCACTTTTTCGGAAAAAATGGTTGGATGTAATCGTCAGTTTACTTTTTCTTTGACTGACATATTATTTATCTGTTTTCTAGCTGTTCGGATCCAGTACTCCTAGCAATCAGGCCGTTTTCGTCTTATTCTTGAATATAGTAGAATACTGGCTGAGAGAGTCTCCTAGTAATTTCAAGGATAGCCTGACTGTGGTGTTCCACAGGGCATTCGTCGGTGAGTGATGGAAAGTGTTGAGGACGTAGCTTCACTCCATGCGCTCCGTGACGAGCATCAGAACCTCTCGGCCACGGCGTCCCAGTTCATCGTCACTTAGTTCATGGCATCAATCTCTGAGTATTGAAGAGAAAAATTATGAAACATGATGCTGACAGTATCAAGTCAGTACTGGTCCTGTTGTAAAATCATACCTTACAGTGTGCTTAACATCTCACTACCGTTATGGAGCTACCGGTAGAAGATTTTCTGAAACGGTATATGGGAGATTGTGCGGTTACACCAAAAGCGCGACAAGAGAATTATTTTCACCGGATTGTACGGCATGCACATTTTTCGGCAATGTGCCTCCTCAGTCTACTCTTTTCAAAATCCCTCTGATGACTGAGAACCACCAGTTTCCAGCAGGGACCATCTGCTAAACACTCGGCCCGAATCACTCTCCATTCAACCTGCTGTTTATTGATCGGTGCTCCTTGTTGCTACCGGACGCCACAATGTAGCCGCGTGGCGTCACTAGATCTGTGTCGGGAATGGTAAGTGATTGACTCAGCAATTTTTAATATAGAGCTTGGAATAATGTAGAAGCGAGTTACTTCTAAAAATAAGCATATGGAGTACCGCCGAACTTGCGATCGATACAATCCAAGCGTTTTTTTTCTGTCTTCTCTCAATGCACAATGCAGAAGTGATTCTTGAAAGCAAAAGAAAAAGCCATATAGCGCGGTATTACTTCAAATCACTGATGTTCGAATACCCAAAGAATCTAGAAGTTCGATAAAGCAAGATATTACATTGCAGTACAACTTTTTTGTGGGTTGATCTTTATTTTGCCAACGTAAATTATGAAAAGGATGACAGTTTCGCAGCTGACTCTTTGAAGGATGCGCCATGTTGTTAGACTTCATGAGCTCATCTTCAATGACACCTGATTTGATACCCAAAAGAACTGAGTGGTGAGCAAAAACACGGCCTCAGGTAGGAATCGGACCCGTGTTTCATCCATGATGGGGAGGCGCGTACTACCACTACGCCACCAAGGCGCATTTGCGCCGCCACTCATTCCTCAGCATCTTTATGTTATCTATCGGGCACCAACCTTTAGCAGGTTCTGGTCGGGTATGCGATTAGCTAACATAGAGATGTTCAAGAATGAGCAGTGGCGCAACTGTGCTTCGGCGGTGTAGTGGTAGTTGAGCGCGTCCCAGGTATGTATAAAAGGCGGAGTCGATTCCCGCCTGACGCCGTGTTTTTGCTCACCACTCAGTTCTCTTAGGTATATATGTGACATCATAGCACTGCAAACAAAAAGCAGTAAAAATACTAAAATTTCGGAGTATTGCTTGTAATATTTTTGGGATTTGAGCAATGGAAATGTAATCTCAGAAAATTTAGTGAGTTGCACATTTTATGGGGATCTGAAAAAATTTTAGACTGATTTGAATGCATATAGACATAACGCTCAATGGCGCGCCCTAGTCGGTGATCGTCAAAAAGTCAGCCGTTTTCGCACCACATGAGCCATTTTGTGTAACAGTGAGCGGCGTCGCGTCTAAGAACCAATTTGCTCGGAGCGCGCCACAATTGGAATAAGGGAATATGATAGGTGAATTTTGATTTAAATTAAACTTATCATTACTCAGTGATATTCTTACGGAAAAAAACTTCTAGATATGATATTGGTAATAGTGCAAAACATGCTTGTTTGTATTTACTTTCTCCTTGAGAACTTCGAAGCCTTGGAAGTAGCATTAACCTTTTTTATCTACAAATAGCCATATTGATCTCCTACATTATACTATTTCATCTATTAACCAGAGATATTCCTAGCGACAATAAATTATTGTTTTCATCATGAAACCACAAACTGTGATGAAGCTGTCCGTCCGTAGTTTGATCCAACTACTGCTGCGTGAAAACTCAGCGCTTTCTACTAACGGCGGTACAGCAAGATTTGTGTTTGTTCCGCTCAAAAAGCAAAGTTCACTGGGTGGAGCCTGCTTGAATCTCTTGATGAATAACGATGTTCTATGTGAGACAAGTGAACAATTACTGTTGAGATTTTGGCCATTTGAACATGGGTATCTGTGGTATTCGCGTTTAGAGCATGAGGTGTCATGAGTTTATTAAATTCAAATGAAACACTTCCGCTAGCATCAGCGAGTGCCTTTGGAAGAGATGACACCTTAAGTTGCAGATTTGAGGGGTAATGCTTTAGATACTTCCCACTGTATTACTTCAGATGCAGTGCCAGTGTCATCACGCAGACTTACTTTTCATTCTTCTCGGCCAAGGTTTTTCCCAAACGGAAGCAAATGATTTGCAAGATAGAACTTCGCCTTCGTTGCTAAAGAGGTAACGAAAAATGCTTGCAAATTACGGAAGATTCATCTCTTCCACCATGTGTCATTGTAATAGATAATGGTGAAGTATATAATTGTTTTTAGAACTAGGGTTCTGAAGTTTTTAAGTTAAAGTTAAGTTTAGAGTTAGAATTAAAAGCTTTTGAAAAAACACGAACATAGGCTACCATAGTGCGCGAGGAAATAGGGATAACACCAATTCAAACTGAGCGCAAATACGGTCTTTTGTCGAGCACAAGATGCCCTTTAAAAGGGGTTTGACAAAGCGACATTATATCGCCATGACTGTTTACAGTCGCACTGCAGTGGATGATGAAGTAGCTCGACTGGGACGAGAAAGGCATGCATCTGTGGAAAGTTCCTGTTACACCTTTGCTTCGTGGACGACTTTCTCACCTTCTGAAAAGTGTCTATGAAGCCCAGACGATGCTCAGTGAACTCAACGAAGCGAAGGAAAGGTTGAATTGAGTTCAAATAAGAAGAAGTTCATGAATTTCAGTTTATTGAAATCAGTTCATGAAAAGAATCGATGGTGTGAAGGTGAACAGATTGAACTGATTGGCTCTCTGATTACGTAGACCACCTCTTTCCCGTACTATGGACGATCACTGAACATGGGGAACGATATAAAGAAGAAATTAGCAGAAGAAGAAGACCAGCTCTCCATTTGAGCCTCTGAAAAAGCCAACGACCAAACGGTAAACGTCAAACTTTGTGCTCTCCTCTTGATTTCATCAGACCCCCAGAAACTCTGTCTGCAGCAGAGACGCGAACTGATACTGCAGCTAGGTCAAGAAATTTGTGGGCTCTTGAGCAAAGTCTTCCGAAAATAAATAGGTTCTTCCAACAAAAAGTCGCTTTATGTAGCTCAAACCTTCGAAAACTACTTCATTTTTATACTCAATGATGCAGAGCGTTGGGCAAAGCTTTCGCGTCAGCCAGGACTTGAACCCACATCTCACTCTATGCGGGAGCGCGTGCTCTGACCCGTTGCACTATTGACGCCCATTTTGCCCACCACTCTTTTTACGCTACAACGCATCTATCTGTCAACCGCCAACCATTTCATTTTTCTCATTTTTACATCACTTCAGTTTTTCGTGATAGACCGTTCTATCATATCAATTATTATTAAAACTAATTTGTTTCTGCAAAAGATGTCCCAAGGATTTGTAACCACTGTGTTTAGAGGTCTGATTAGCGCTTCCCCTATAAATGTCCAAACGTCGGGTATTGGGATGTCAGCGTGTTTCAGTACAGCATTTCATTCGGCTATTCGTCGGCATTGATTTTGATAAGCTTTTTGTTCTGGTCCTCATTACTGAATTATTATGACATGTTATAATATACCCAATATGTGGAGTGCTGTGCATAAGTGTTTGCGTCAGCCGGGATTCGACCTCAGATCTCACTCTTTCCGGGAGCGTATGCTAACCGTTGCACTACCGACGCTCGTTTTGCACAGCACTCTTATTTACGCTATAACGCGTTATCTGCCAACAGCCAACCGTCAACAGTCTGGCGGGGCAGCCGCTATCGGCATTGAACCCACTTGTGTTGACAGACATTGGATATCGATAATCATTCTAAATTCTTTCCATTTTGACTGCCACTTGCAGTGGTAAGATGTTATAATATACCCAATATTTGGAGAGCTGTGCAAAAACGTTTGCGTCAGCCGGGATTCGAACCCAGACCTCACTCTTTCCGGGAGCGTATGCTAACCGTTGCACTACCGACGGAAAGAGTGAGATCTGGGTTCGAATCCCGGCTGACGCAAACGTTTTCGCACAGCACTCCACAAATTGGGTATATTATAACATAATACCACTGCAAGTGGCAGTCAAAATATAAAGAATTTAGACCTATATGACATGCTTGGTGTTGTGATCTTTATATTGTTCGCTCCAGTTTTCTTTTTCTTTTTTCCCTCTCTTTTTATTATTTAATTTCTTTTATCTCTCCTTTTTTTATTTTCTAATTTATCTTTTTCTTTTACTTGTTTTTCTTTTATTTAGGCTGACGCTATATCAACGTTCGAGCGCGTGTATGAGAAGCTGCCAACACTGCTGGAAGAGGGCCACATCCGACGCTATTGGGTTCTGGATGGCATGAATATCATGCACGTCCGCAGAGCAAACGAGTGAGTGATCGAGAATAAATCATAAAGTTCTAGTTTTTTTTTGACTTTGTTGATTAGTACAACAGGGGTACTGCAGTAGGTATGAGAGGAGAGATTTCGACAGTCTCCTTGGGTTTTATATCCTTTTTGGCATTGATGCGAATCATAAAGCCTTCTATAATCCGTGTAATATTTCAACGTTACTCTTTAGTACAGATCTGGTAGTACAACCAAATGTGGAAAGAGATTTAAATCGTCTTTTTGAGCTTTATAAGTGTTTATTGGTAGTGATTCTGTTGTTTTTCACTTTTCCTATGATTTTCCTCCAATATTACTTGTAATGGACTTTTTATAATGCTATTCAATGACAAAAGCAATTGTTCTATCATACAAACTGCAAAACAATGTTGATCTTTTCGCTTGAAAAATACGTTTCGAGGCAAAGAACTATACTCGAAGTATTTTTTCAATGCATTTTGTAGTGTTATAATGTTTTCTGTATACCTAAGAGAATTGAGTGATGAGCAAAAACGCGGCCTCAGGCGGGAATCGAACCCGCGTTTCATCCTATCCGGGGACGCGTTCTGCCACTACACCACCGAGGCGCATTTGCCCGACCACTCAATATTCAACATCTCAGTGTTAGCTATCAGCCACCAACCTTTGACAGGTTTTGGTCGGGTATGCGATTTCGCTTTATAAATCCAGTTGAGCTGACAGCTATTCTAATTACTAGTTTTCGAAGAATTTTTAAAATGTATTTCGCTGTATGCCTGATAATGATTATCTGAGCCTCGCATGTCAGTGGTCTATTAAAGAGGGCTGAAATATAAAACCCGATACACGTGTTTCGAGTTTGCGATCTCGTCAGTCGGGCAATTACTCTTTCTCGTCTTTTGCTAATCTCTGTGAGTGCTCCAGTCCCCACACTAGGAATTAGCGACGACGAACGTTTTACACTCTATGTCCAGTGAAATTCTCACCGAACGCAGAGTGTTGTACATTCGATTGCTCATGGCTAGTATATTCAATATATCATATCTTTCTTTCATGCATATGGTATCATTATCAGGCATTTGAAATTTGAGTAGTGGTCTGAAGAAGACACTCGAAACGAATGCATTTCGCAGTGTTATGATGTTTTCTGCCCAGTTGAATGTTATTCATAAAGCGAAATCGCATACACGACCAAACCTGTCAAAGGTTGGTGGCTGATAGCTAACATTGAGATGTTGAAGAATGAGTGGTCGGGCAAATGTGCGTCGGTGGTGTAGTGGTAGAGCACGCGTCCACGGATAGGATGAAACGCGGGTTCGATTCCCGCCTGAGGCGGCGTTTTTGCTCACCACTCAATTCTCTTAGGTATACAGAGAACATCATAACACTGCGAAATGCATAAAAAAATACTTCGAGTATTAGTAATTAGAATAGTTGTCAGCTTAACTGAGCTTATAAAGCAAATTCGCATACCCGATCAAACCTGTCAAAGGTTGGTGGCTGATAGTTAACATTAAGATGTTGAAGAATGAGTGGTCTGGCAAATGTGCCTCGGTGGTGTAGTGGTAGAGCACGCGTTCCCGGTTAGGATGAAACGGGGTTCGATTTCCCCCTGAGGCCGCGTTTTGCTCACCACTCAATTCTCTTAGGTGTACAACAAAGAACTATCACGCAGATTTCTTCATAAAGCTGCGAAGATTTTCCATCGCATGATCATTAAAATTCTAGCTAATCTAAAACGAAGCTCTTGCAACTACTTGCAGTAATGGAGCATTTGATCTTTAGAGACTTCAACGTGGTGGCCGTTGTGCTACGATCATTGTACTTATCGTTGTCCGAAACGAAACGAGGTATTATGGATGTGAGTTTTGGCGATATTCTGCAACAAAATTGAGGTGAACCCCTTCTCTTCGGCATCTCAAAGACCCTCTGGTTATTTCCTTTGCTATTTCTTGTATATGATAGAAAAGAATCTGTAACGCACCCCTTTATCGAAATTATCAATCAACTATGGCCCATATTCGAGTAGCTATCGATGCTCGACGAGTGGTAGATGCCCCTTACTTTTCGTGAACACTCCCCAGCAATCAATGGCGAATGCCCTAGGCTGGTTGTGCTCGAAATTGCAAAAAGATGTGCTCAATCAGTGTTTTACGACGTTAGTGAAGAAGATAGATTGAAAGCGACTGCCAATGAATTATCTATCCAGTAAGATTGAGCCACTTGCCCAAAATTGATTTAAGGAAATCCTGAAAACACTTTGAAAATGACTAAGACGTCTAAGTATTGACCGAGTTTGTTTCCACCAACATAATGCTATTACCTCAATTAAGAAGGGAGATATGATTTGAAAGCTAAAAATATTACGTATTGAAGATCTAATGAGATTCTTTTTGATTTACCGCTTCTAGTGGTGGTATGATGTTCCAAATATACCCATCGATGCAGTGTGATGTGCAAAACTTTCGCGTCAGGTGGGACTAGAACCCACACCTCAATCTTTTCGGGAGCGCGTGCTCTATCCGTTGCACTACCGATGCCCATTTTGCACACCACTCTTTCTACGCCACAGCGCATCTACAACGCATTTATCTCATGTCACTCTTACTTTGCATTTCTCTCAGTCAAGAAGGATTTAGCCAAATGGAAGCAATTAGCAAGCAATTACTGCAAGCGTTCGGCATAAAACAGATTTGCCCATTCGTTCTTAATTTACCAGTTCGACTTGTAACAGCTAAGTTTTGTGATTATTTGGACATATTTGTGATGACGAAAGTCAATTCGATTTCGCACGCGATTCATTGGCATTTATGAATTGATTCACCTTATAAGCGAAAGTTATTGCGCCACTCAATTTGAAGAAAGAAGCCTATTATCATCTACATCAACTAAATCTGGGCTGAAATTTTGCATAACGATTTTACAACTTCGACTTTTAGGCACAAAAACATCTCTTTCTTGAAAGCTCTATTAGAACTGGGCCTGAATTTCGCAGAAAAACCAGAATATCGTCGAAAAGAACGATGGTGATGTTTACAGCTGCCTCCCTTGTATTCATAGTTCAAACTTGAACTCTCATTTGCTCCAATCTCTCCCCTCCCCCTTCCCATGTCCTTCTGTTTGCACCTCAACGTATCAAACATTTTTGGAATCAAAGTATGATTCTGGAGAACCTATATGTGTTCTCTCCCACGAGAGAATGTAGTGTCTTCTATGATCCTTTAAATTCTAAATCTCTAAACTGTGAAGATGAACAACGTACATCCTGTGCGTTGACGTCGACGCACAGCCGAGCGTTGTTTGATTACAGAAGCTTTTTACACGCTCTAATGATCTTGGGGCTAGACTGGGTGACCGGCATCTTCTCGACCGCTCCGACCTAAACATTGTACCAAGTATGCTTTGATTCTGAATATAAGACAGAAGTGTTCAATTATGTATTGGTTGAAGTCGAACAGCCTACATTTTTATGAGAACCGATAGAAAATGAGTGCAGTTTTTATTAAGCCAAACATAACCCATTCTACTACAGCATTCGCGCGTTCGGTAGATGAACTTTCAGAAAATAACGACGTTTAGAGTTATGGGTACACTAAGGCGCAGATGTCGATTCAGTGACAGTCAACGCTTTGATCTTTCTACTATATATGACTCGTTCTGTTTTTATTTTGACTCTTAACATCATGTTCGTTAAACAGTATAGCTCAATCATTCTTCATCTTTGAGATGCACGGTACTGAACTCCAGTACTTATGAGCATGACGAGAGGTAAGCCTCATCGGCAGTAGGAATGGCATTCATTAATGGTCTCAATTAATTAAAAGCCATTAGTCGAAAAAAATACCGATGGCTTACGCGAGACAGATCTCCGCTATCTTCGCTTGCTGGATCCCATCAACGCTGACCTTCCACGGAGCTTTGAGTACCTCTGCCACAATTTCTGCGTGGTAAATCAGAGAGTGCAGAACCTTGCTTTTGACTACTAGGCACGTTCTCCGGCATTATTAGTAGATAAAATGGGATCAGGGTGTTCACTTTTAGCTTTTATACAGTAGGTTTCACCAGCAATCACATATCACACATCAAAACTTCCATAATTTTCGAAATTGGTCTATTTGAGTTGAGTTGACATATCGTCATTTTGATCGTCGTCATAATCGTTTTATTTTAGTCTCACATCTCTCTCAAAAGCTTGCTTCTTATAAGAACGAACTGAAGGCAATTATTATTAAAATTGTAGAACATTATTTCTATGGATATCACTTTGAATGGGACATACTGACTCGCATGACATCTGTGGATGTCATTTTCGTTTCAAATGGTTCATTTCGACCACGACGTCCTATCTATACCCTATAACATACATGAATCAATATTTACCGACATATGCATAAATTTGTTTATAATTGTTTTTTTTTCTAACACTGACTTAAGCTACACAGATTTTGCGTTCATTTCAGCTCTATGCGATCCTTCACATAGCGATGACGGTGTGACATTCCGTCTTAGACAACGTTAGTTATTCGAGATTTATGCCATTTTATCACTTCTCTTGAAGAAATCTTGCGAAAGAGATTTCTTGGGAAGAAAAGGCCAAATTTAGTGCTCCATAGTTTCGCGATCTTTGAAGCCGAATGTGATGACCCAGCAAATTGGATTAAACTAACGGATGCTGCCATATCTCAAGCCCACTTTCTATGTTGTTATGAAACTTTGTGGAATAGGCTCTCGCAAGGAAAGGGTTTGATTTATTCTAATTTCTATATTAGCAATTTAGCAAGTCACCTATGTGTATGAAGTGGTACGCGAAAATTCAACCTCAGACGAGCGTTGAGCCTACTTATCACTCCCAGGGACTCGTAGTAAAATTGAACAGGTTACTTACTTTGAATAGCTGCCAGCGTAAGTGGATTTGATACCGTATGTGGCTACCCAATCAAGCCTGTTTATTGCTGGCTGCTGACAGCTGCAGTTAACGTATGTTGAGGAAAAAGCCGCCAACGTAATGGGTAAAACGCGGGTTCAAGTCCCACCTGAGATCCAGTTTTTTGCGTACCCTCTTTATCCTTAAGTGAGAATGCATTGTTTTAGTGCATTCGAAGTACATGAGCGTGGGACACCTTCGCCTTATGCTCATCTTCATCTGTGTAGCATCATACTGTCAAAGGCTTACCATGTGTTCATCCTACATCTGTACGAGGTGCGAAGTGTTCGCTACATCTTCGATGCTTTTCCTTAGCAATTCAGACATTGACTTGTCCAGATAGAGTTCATATTGCAACACTTATGATTTTTTGAAATAACACTCTTGAAATGCCTTCTTCAAGTATGTCGCGTACTCTATCGGTATCTTATGTTCAAGTACCGTGAATAGCATGAAGCGCAAAATGTTTTGAAAAAGGAAAAGACACGTAGAAACAGCAATAGGAGGCAAAGGAGAGGGATGCAGTAGAGACAGACGATGTTGTGTGATTACATGGTTCCTCCATGTAATTCATAAAAAGATAATTTCCCAAATGTGTTGATTTTTCGACGTCATAGATAAATCTGATATTGTGGAATCCTTTGACAAAGAAAAAGTGTTAAGTTTGTTTGGACAAGCTAGTGAAACACTATTTATTCTTTCTAATAAAGATACGGTCATTAATACATTCAATCGCATATATACATCTATGGGAGCCAGCAAACGAAGCCAGTGGAAATCAGTCTTGTGTAAGCCATCGGTTTTTTTTTTTCGATTAAATGGCTATCAGGCCATTAATGAATGCCATTTTTAGCTGCTCATGAGCATGATTTAACTCTCGCGGCGCCCATAAATGGTGGACCTCCCTACCGTCCATCTCGAAGGTGAAGAATGATTGAGCTATGTTGCTTCACAAATATGTTATTGAGAGTCAAAATAAAAACAAAACGAGCCGTGGATAGTCAAAAGATCAAAGCGCTTACTGTCGCTGAATCGACACCTGCGCCTTAGTGTATCTATAACTCTAAACGTCGTTATTTTCTGGAAGTTCATATACCGACCGCGCGAATGTTGTAGTAGAATGGGCTATGTTTAACTTAACAAAAACTGGATTCACTTTTTTTCTGTTCTCATAGAAGTTGTGGTTGTTCGAATCCAACCAACACATAGCTAAACACTTCAGACTTTTATATAGAATCAAATTATACTGAAACAAAGCTTAGGTCGGAGAAGTCGAAGAGATGGCGGTCATCCAGTGCAACCCCAAGATCACCAGAGCGTGGGAAAAGCTTCTCTAATCATACGACGCTCGGCTGTGCGTCGACGTCAACGCACGAGGACGTACGTTGTTCAGCTTCACAGTTTAGGACTTTAGAATTTGAAGGATTATAGAAGACATTACATTCTATCGTGCGAGGGAAGCTATGTTTGATGAGCTAAGGTGCAAACAGAAGGACATGAGAAGGGGGAGAGGAGAGAATGGAGCTAATGAAAGCTTAAGTTCTAAACTCTGAACACAATAGAGGCAGCTATAGACATCATCATCGCCGTTTTCGACGAAATTCTGCTTTTTCTACAAATTCCAGCCCCAATTCTAATAGAGGTTCCAAGAGGGAGATTTTTTGCGTCTAGAAGTCGGAGTTGTAAAATCGTAATGGAAAACCTCAGTCCAGATTCAGTTGATGTAGATGACGATAGGATTTTTTTCCTAGAATGGAGTGGCGCAACAACTTTCACTTATGATTGAATTCAATTCATAAATGCCAATAAATTGCATATGAGATCGAACTGACTTTCGTCATCATAAATATGTCTAAATGATCAAAAAAATGAAGACGTTATAAGACGAACTGGTAAATTAAGAATGAATGCGCAAATCTCTTTTATACCAAACGTTTACAGTAAGTGCTTGCTATTTGCTTTCGTTTAAAAAAATTTTTTTTTGACTGAGAAAAATGCAAAGTAAGAGTGACATCAGATAGATGCGTCATAGTTGCCTGTAGCATAGAAAGTGTGGTGTACAAATGGGCGTGAGTAGTGCAACGGATAAAGCACGCGCTCCCGGAAAGAGTGAGGTGCGCGTTCTAGTCCCGCTTGACGCGAAGGTTTTGCACACATTATTGGGTGCACATGAAAT